TTAAGAGCTTAATTCAAGAATTTGTATTTACAGTTCTGACATCCAGTGAGAATAAGATACTGTCCGTAATTCATCAATGTTTCCAAATCATTCAAGGGAAAGAAAATAAGAACCTTAGGAATTTATACATGATGTTAATATGAGAGTTTCTATGGCACCATGAACAACATGATGGAACGGGGTACATGCCAGAGCTCTGGGATATACAAGACATCCCTAAGCTGTAATAATTTAATCAGGGATCAGACATTGGGATCTGAGAAGGGCAATAAAGTAGACTGTGACATGGAGAGCCAAGACAAGAGCACTTGGAATTAAGACCTGCAAACCCGACAGCCATTTTAGAGCTCCAGGGGGACAGATGAGGTACAACCTTAAGGGAAAGGATCTCAGGCTATTTGGAAGCTAGTCTGGTCTTCATGTACCCCATAAGACATGAAGTGTCCTGGGACTGGAGAGTAGAACCACCCTTCCAAAAAAGAGATATTGTTCTCTGCTAACGATATTAGTAATGAGACTGTAGTTTCCATGGGAAGAGTTTGTTTATAGCCAGGTCTCTAAATGAAGGCACACACATTAACCAAGATTTGTCTATCCCCTTGCTCTAATTAAATTTTAGGGTTAGACACAATCATTTATCTCGCCTGAAACACTGATGAGCCCAGTTGGAATGTAAAACCCCAAAGCAACTCAATATTTACTAAATTTAAAGGAAGCAATCAATTGTAATTCGAATTTATGCACATCCTTTCCCCACCTCAGATCTGTCTTATTTCCCTTAAGTTCCTCTGGTCATTAAGATTGTCAGTAAAGTTATTGTTTTAATGTATCTGCAATAACTAAAAGAAAATGTATCAGGCATCTACAGATAGAGACTTTATAGGCCTGATATTCACAGCCTCATTTCTCTATAGAGATGCTGGCCTATTCAGTAAATGTTTACAGAATGAATGGGAAAAATCTTTATACCCCCCTTTTTTTTTGCAGCTTATCATGATAGTTCATGCCTACAATCTCAGAACTCAGGAGACTGAGCCACAAGGATTGCTACAAGTTCTGGATTGGCTTAAGGCTACATAAGTGAGTGTTCCAGGCCAACCTGGGCTATGATTTAACACCTTGACTCACAACAATTATTTTTACAAATACCATCTCAGACACCCTGACCCAGCATATGAGTATGTCTCTGTTACTCTCAAAATTCCCTAATGGTCATTCTTTCCTTTGACATTTGTGTAACAAAACACTGAAATAAAAACCATTTGTTTCCCAAGAAAGATGATTTTAATTAACATTCTCTCCAAACATGTCAATCATCCAGCACCTTAAAAACGAATTCAATTTATATCAGGAAAGCTGTTCCCTTTTCCCTAGGAAACACACAACTTTTAAAGACCCAGTTGGCATTGACATCTCCAGTTCATAAAAACAGAGATTCAGTTTGCCCGTCATGAAAGTTGAAAGCCCAGTCTGCATCACTTTGCTAACTTAGACCTCTTTTACTTCTGCTTAGGCTAATATCCCACCTTTGCTCCCTGTTTTCAATTCTTAATGCTTCTGAAGCTTCCATCTGCTTTTCTAAGAGGATGACGAAAGACAGACAACACTCTCAGCCTCCTAGGATATTCTGCCCTGGAGATTCTCAACAGGCATTTGGAAATTGGAGTTAGCCCAGAGCTCCAGAGTGAATTAAGGATTGGTGAGGTCAGTTTGGGAATCATTAGCGTAGGGGTTAAAGGTGAAAGTATGTGAAAAGATGAAATTATCCGGGGAGCCAACACAGCAAGAGAAGATCCATATCAATGACAGGAACTCAGGGGCTGCTCCATTTAAAGGGGTGAGAAGGGAGTAAAATGTGTGCGTATGTATGTGCATAGTGAATGGTTATGCACATGCATTAGTCTCTTCTCTGTGTCTCTGTGTTTCTGTCTCTGTCTCTCTCCCTTCCTGTGTGTGTGTATGTGTACCAGAGAAACCCACAAAGAAAACCTAATAAATATTGTGAACACACCAACACACCAAGAATAAATGGTGACCATTCTTAAGCAAAAGAAGATATGTTCAAGTGCCAGAATCTGCAGATGTCCAGAAGACTGAAGCCAGAAGCAGCCATCAGATTCTGACTAATTGGTCACAGGTAACTTTGAGGGAAAGCAGTCTTCCCAATGTGGTCTCTATGGATTGTGGGGGACCAGCCACCCAGCGATGTCCATAAGACACGCCGGTGAAGATCTTAAAACACCAGAAGATTACACATCAATGAAGAAGAAGATTGGTGCTGAGTATCCCTCCCTGACAATGAAGCTAATAACCACTGTTGCACCCTCCTCTCTGTGTGCCAGAATCAATGCATAGTATTTCTATGCATGAATTCACTTTCATCCCCATTATAGCTCTAAAAAGCCACTGCGTTTTGCATAACCAGAGCCAGCAAAGGTTAAATAAATTACCAAGGCCATAGAGTCAAATCTTGGTAGTTCTAGAAAGGTGCCTGGGCTGTATTTGAGACTGAAAGTCCCTGCTGTCAGCCACTGAAGTTAACACCTCCACACTAATGTTAGTTAGATAGCTATGCTTGAGAAGGGAGCTGATACAGATGAAGTGTCTCTGCGTTCGGGTTCTTTGCATTCAGTATCTCCTTTCACACTCATGTCATCAACTTTTGGGCTATATTTAGGTAAACCTTATGAGGACATATTTAAATGATTCTATTTTTGGTTTTTATTTAAAAAAAACTTAACTTTCTTAGACTGCAAAACTACTGGTTATCATTCATATGCACTTGCTCCAATTATTCCCAATGGTTTGAATTTGTTTTAAAGTGTGGGGTCATTGATTAGGTGGTTGCTTTTAAGATCCAAATTAGTAATAACCAAAGCATCAGATAACTGAGCGGAGTTTGGCAGCATGCTTTCAAAAGACTTCTTTCTAGCCTCGAATTTCAACAATCTTTGCATGCAGACTTGGTGACAATAATGTTAAAGATGAGGAATTGGGTGTAGTAGAATTGTGCATGGTGAAGCAGCAGAACTGGTTGGCATGTCAGCATCTTTTTATTCCTTAAAATAATATAAAAATGATTCTATGGTTGGCCAAGACATTGCTTGCTAACTCAAACAGTAGCTTTGAAACTGTATAACAAAGATACACTGAAAATGGAACCAATTAATTTGCCTATGACCCAGCAAAGATCTTATAAGATTCAACTGGTTATCAGGAAAAAAAAATGACACAGAGTGTGGGGGAATGAGTGACAAAAACTCTAGTAATTAATATTTTGCTGTCTATAGAAAAGCAAATGTAGTTCTGGTCTAAAGCGATTAGTATCACTTATAATTGTGCATGTGCATAGCAATAATACTAGGCATATGGGTGGCTTTCACTGATTGTTCCCTTCTTCCTCTGAATTACAAAAATCCATTCAGACAGCTAAATAATAGCAAACATTAGGCAAATTGTTAGCTGTGAGGCAGATATAATCATAATCCTGTACATTTATGAATCTGAATATACAATGAGGATTACCAAATGAATTTTTGCTTTATTATTTTACCAGTGGTTGAAAAATAATCTAGTCCTACAAACGTTTTTCATAAATCATTTATTCAGTCCACCAGAATTGAAAAAATGGCCCCATCAATATTTACCAAAGCTGTTTCTTTCCCATCTTACCACCTGCACTCTTTTCTTCCTAATACTGCATAAGGTTGCTCTGGCAACTTCTGTTCCAGTGTAGCAGCAGTAAAAGTATGTCAGAATGGTGCTACCATGTAACTTTTAAAACAGAAAGGAAATAAAAACTACTGACACTTTTGTTAAAGCAATTATAAGGAAGATACTACCTACATTATTGACCATTCTCATAATAATCGTCCACCTAACTTTATTCACACATAAGTAAATAATAGTGGAAATGGGACATGCCCAAAGTCACTGCTCTAGAAAGTAACAGCGTGTAATATTCTAACAGTGAAGACATGTATCCAATCTATGATCTTTAAAATGCCCTCCCATAGTAATGTGGAATGAAGCCTTGGTGTCTGTTTATACCTTTTATCTCAACTCATTACCAAAGGACTATAACATTAAACAGAGACTGTTCTCATTTGTCAGATAGTCCACAAGAGCCTAAGATGAATATGGCATTCCAGATCCTGAAAACTAAATTGGGCATCTTACAGAGGGCCCATCTAATCTATTTTTACAGGAGCTTGCCCTAGTGGAGGAATGCCAAACTCATCACCTTCCCACTCTCTTATTTATTTAGTGAGGGCAAGATATAGGTAGGTAGGAAGAAAAAACAGAAGCACTGGTAAATATTTCTGAGCCAAATAAACCTACAATAAGTCAAACACAAAACTGGTGAACATCACAGCTTTAGAAGAAAATACACTAAGAAAATAGAGCATGCCATTAAAAATGGCTTTCCATTCTCATGAGGCTCTTTAGCACTGGTGACAATACAATATAGCCATGGCAACAGCGGTTGCTTTCCTGAAGCATTTTCAATGCTCCTTCTTCCCCACAGAAAGGAGCTTTCTTGTGTTTGGTTAGATTTGTTTTCCAGCAGCTTTCAAGTGACAAAGGCCTACTGCTTATGGGTTACTCTACCTTGCAATTCCCCATATCTGCATTTCCTGTTAAGGAAATGTTGTTCCAATTGTTTTGTAAAGCACCATCCACCCTAGGAACAGGCAAGCATGCCTGAAGTCCTCTAAAGACTTTGTTGATGCTGGAGATCCTCTTACCCCACACTCTACTGTGTCATCCAGTTTCATCTAACTCTCTGGAGTGGGACAAGCTAAACCTTCATCTCACTTCCAAATGAGATCTGCCATTAGACCCGAGATTACATGCTGCTTGCAACTAAAACAAGACAAGTATCTATGAGAAAAAAATTAACTATTTTGTTTTACAATTAAGCTGGCAGGCTATTGCAGAGTCTATTTATTTTGGGGCTTTTTCAGGCTCAGTTAAACTAAAAATACATTGTTACTTACCTTGTTGCATCTAGAATCTGAAAAATCCTCCACCTGTTAAAGGAACAGTAAAACCAGTAGCAAGAGCTTGCCAAGAGAAGAGTTAAAATTATTTTTTAAAGAAGTCCATTTTGCTTGGATATCATATTTTTACAGTTTCCCAAACTGTAAGGAAATAGTTCATGGGTAGCTTCCCCATTTTGTTCCCTATTAGCCCATCTATAGTAAATGGGGAAATTCCAAATCACAAGGCTAAAAGGAGCAGTGCAACATTGAGAATCAATCCTTTGGATTGCTGTGGGCAGGGGATGGTGTATCTACCACGCATACTAACTTTATTCTCTTTCTCGGGGGGGGGGGGGGCAGGGGCAAACCAAAGACAAAAGCCAAGAAACCCAAACCCAGACCAAGTCTAACCCTGTAGCATGGATGAAATGGAAATGCCTCATTGAAAGGACTGGGGAGAGATTTTTTTCACATCATTGGGAAAGTATGTACACAAAAGAACAAAAGAACGTTTAAGCTTTGCTTCTGCTTTTCAATGGGATGAGAATGCAAAGCATGCAAGTACACACACACACACACACACACACATACACACACACAGGCAAAGAGAGAGAGCAAGAGAGAGAACTCATTATTGTAGTGACTGCCACCCAAACACAAAACATCCATCAAAGTAAGTAAACAAAATCTCTCCATTTATAAAACTTGTTTAGATCATTCCCATAACACAGGTCTTAGGAGTAACAAACATTAACTCTACAATGTGATCTTCTTTTAGTTTTTTTTTTTTGCATTCATTTTTGTATTTAGGTGTGTTTGTGTGTGTGTGTGTGTGTGTGTGTGTGTGTGTGTGTGAGTGATTAGGTTTGATCACAAGGTCCTTGACCATTGCGCCATCTTAATTAACTTCTCATATGAGCAGCATCTCTGAAGTTGTGCCCAGGTTAATTTGAGACTCAGTAAGCTTTCTCATTTTAATTATGCCATAACAATTTTGTACACTTTTTTTGTGCACACAAAAATAGGTTCTCAGGGCCTGCAAATTGTTATGGGAGAAATGTCTCTGGCATCACAAATCTGTGCAGGCTTCTGGGACAGGTTAAGAATGTCTTTTAACAGCATAGCCAGTAGCACTGTCTTGTTTGCATCACCACTTGGGAAAGAGTACATGACTTTTCAAAATCTTGAGTCCTTGTTGTGGTTATACCTCACTGCCCTGCTTCTCAGCTGTTAAGACTGCTGGGGAAACAAGTGCTATAAGAAACTAACATGCTATGCTTGGTGCATTCTGACAGTAAATCTTTTCAAATGAGATAACCCCGTGAATTAACTTGATATTTAAACGCCAGTGTATTTTGTCTCACTCCAGCCACAAGAAAATAAATTTAGAGCATGCTAATCGGTCTCATGACATAAAACCTGCATACACCAAAAAAAAATGCCTAGAAGCCCTTGTAACATACTTGGCCTGGTGAACAAAAGAAAGTACAACTTTGGATGAAAATAGAAGCAAACAAAAAGCCCTAACAAATACAGCGAGAAAAGAACACTTTTAAAATGAGAATATGAAACTATGTGCTGATTTTTTTTTTGGGGAGTTCAGGAAATTCCAGAGTGAAATATACAGTAGGTTCTAAAGCCTTAATTGTTACTATACTTTCCTAATGGAAATTCTCAAATGGTGTATTTCCATTGATTTATTGATTTGTATCAGGGCTGGGATAAATTTAACTTCAATCAGGGAGCTATTATCTCTTGAGAGCATCACATTTTTATTTCTATGTAAACTTCCCTTCTACTTGTTAGCATTTCCCAGTGATTGCACTGAGAAAATTTTTAAAAGCTCATTGTCTTACCTGATGTCCAGACAGCAGAGATGCAGTATTCAATGATGATCCACGACGACGTTACAGGTACATCAATCAAAAGGGTGGGCAGTCATTATAGGTGACCAAAGACCATGGAGGAAAGGTAAAAAGTAAGAGAGAAAGATGTATACTGATCAGAAGAAAAGGAATTAATTTTAAAGCTTATTTTACACAAATGTACACACACTCTCCCTTTGGAAAGGTTCTCAAATAAAATTTCTTAAAAAGATCCTTTAATCATGAAGAGTCCTCCAAACTATATTTATTATCCAGTATGTGCCAGGAATTGCTATAGGATACAACAGTAGATAAAACAAACAAACAAACAAATTCCTTTTTTTCTGCCAAGTCTGCAATCTTGTGGAATATTGTGTGGGCCATCTGCTTGAAATAAGAATTCTCTAGAAATATACCATATGTGAAAGTATTTTTCCTGGTTTTATTTATTGTGTTCTTTATGTATGGAGAACATACCCAATGGCATCAAAGTCAACATTTGTAGTAGAAGAAACTGCTGATTAGAAGGAATACTGTAAATTTATGGTCTCTTCCTCTTAAAAGCCCTCCCCCAAAGGGTGTCAGTCAAGGTTCTTTCCAGCTGCCCCATATGCCCCAAGTGCTTGCATTTTGAAAGGCTATGAAAAACAGGCCTGTCAGTAATAGGTCAGTTCCACATCTAAACAGAGCTTTTCTCATTGGCTGTTAGTGTTTTCTCTAACAGGGGACCAGGTGACCTGCTGAGATTAAAGGCATTAGCCCTCAGCAAGTCCCATCTTGGAAAAATAACAGGCCTAGAAGACAAAGGAGTCTTGATTATCCAGCCTGTGACCTGGATGCTGTGCCAAGATCAAGAAGATGGGATCAGTCTTAAAAATACAAGGCACATATCTAAACATAGTAAAGGCGATATACAGAAAGCCTATAGCCAACATCAAACTGAACGAAGAGAAACTTAAAGCAATCCCACTGAAATCAGGGACAAGACAAGGCTGCCCACTCTCTCCATATCTCTTCAACATAGTGCTAAAAGTCCTTGCTAGAGCAATAAGACAGTCGAAGGAGATCAAGAGGATACAGATTGGAAAGGAAGAAGCCAAATTATCACTATTTGCAGATGATAAGATAGTATACATGAGTGACCCCAAAAACTCTACCAGGGAACTCCTACAGCTGATAAACACCTTCAGCAAAGTGGCCGGATACAAAATTAACTCAAAAAAATCAGTAGCACTGCTGAATACAAAAGACAAAAGGGCTGAGAAAGAAATTAGAGAAACAACACCCTTCACAATAGCCACAAATGACATAAAGTACTTTGGTGTAACCCTAACCAAGGAAGTCAAAGACTAGTATGAAATTTCAAGTCTGTGAAGAAAGAATTAGAAGAAGATATGAGAAGGTGGAAAGATCTCCCATGCTCATGGCTTGGCAGGATTAACATAGTAAAAATGGCCATCTTACCAAAAGCAATCTACAGATTTAATGCAATTCCCATCAAATTGCCAACACAATTCTTTACACACCTTGAAAGAAAAATTCTCAACTTCATATGTAATAACGAGAAACCCAGTATCACTAAAACAATCCGCTAAACAAAAGATCTTCTGGAGGTATCTCCATCCCTGATCTCAAGCTGTACAATAGAGCAACAGTTATAAAAAACTGCATGGTACTAGCATAGAAACAGAATGGTAGATCAATGGAACCGAACAGAAGACCCAGAAATAAACCCACACATTTATGAACACCTGAATTTGACAAAGATGCCAAAACCATACAATGGAAAAAAGATAGCATCTTCAACAAATGGTGCTGGTCCAACTGGATGTCTACATGTAGAAAAATGAAAATAGATTCATACTTATCACCCTGCACAAAACTGAAGTCTAAGTGGATCAAAGAACTCAACATAAAACCAGATACATTAAATCGGCTAGAAAAAAAAAAAGTGGAGAATACCCTAGAACTCATTGGTACAGGAGAAAACTTCCTAAACAGAACGCCAACTGCACAGGCTTTAAGAGCAACAATCAATAAATGGGACCTCATGAAATTGAAAAGCTTCTGTAAAGCAAAGGACACCATCATCAAAACAAAGCAACTGCCTACAGATTGGGAAAGAATCATCACCAACCCTTTATCTGACAGAGGACTCATATCCAGTGTATATAAAGAACTAAAGAAGCTGAAAAGCAGCAAACCAAGTAATCCACTTAAAAAATGGGGAACAGAGCTAAAGAGAGAATTCTCTGTAGAGGAATATCGAATGGCAGAGAAGCACTTAATGAAATGCTCAACCTCATTAGCCATTAGGGAAATGAAAATCAAAACAACCCTGAGATTTCACCTGAAACCCATAAGAATGGCCAAGATGAAAAACTCAAGTGACAACACATGCTGGAGAGGTTGTGGAGAAAGGGGAACCCTTCTCCACTGCTGGTGGGAATGTAAACTTGTACAACCACTCTGGAAATCAATCTGGCGCTTTTTCAGACAACTAGGAATAGCACTTCCTCAAGATCCAGCCATACCACTCCTCGGCATATATCCAAAAATGGCTCAAGTACACAACAAGGACATTTGCTCAACCATGTTTGTGGCAGCTTAATTTGTAATAGCCAGAGGCTGAAAACAGCCCCCAGATGCCCCTCAACTGAAGAATGGATGCAGACATTGTGGTACATCTATACAATGGAGCAATGAAAAATAAAGAAATCATGAAATTTGCAGGTAAATGGTAGGACCTGGAGAGGATCATCCTGAGTGAGTTATCCCAGAAACAAAAAGACACACACGGTATATACTCACTCATATATACATACAACATAAGATAAACCCACTAAAATCAGTACATCTAAACAAACTAAGCAAAAGAGAGGACCCTAACTAAAATGTTCAATCCCCATCCTGAAAGGCAAAGAGGATGGACATCAGAAAAAGAAGAAAACAGGAAACAACCTAGGAACCTGCCACAGAGGGCCTCTGAAAGCATCTGCCCTGCAGACTATCAAAGCAGATGCTGAGCCTGATGGCTAACTATCGGGCAGAGTGAATGGAATTTTATGTAAGAAGTGGGAAATAGCAAGAGCTGGAGAGGACAGGAACTCCACAAGGAGAGCAACAGAACCAGAAAACTTGAACACAGGGAACTTCCCAGAGACTCATACTCCTACCAAGGAC